GGCTTGCTTGTTCCTGGAGATAAGGGGGAGCTGGCACTTGGGTTTGAGCTTAGACTCCTCTGGGGAACCCTGAATGTACGGCAACCTTTGTACGAGGGGACTGCATCGCTCCCGATTCCGTAGCCACCCTGATTCCAAACCTAACCCAAGTATGGCTTAGGCGTTTGTCATACGCACGCACGCACGTTCACACGAGCCAAGCGGGTTTCTTTACAGCCAGGTTAAAGAAAAGAAAAAAAAAAAAACCAAGAAAAAAAATTCAGTGCTCGGACAGATCCATCTGCACGGACAGACAGACGCACGCTCGGCTTGTCGGGAGCCGGCCAGCCCGCGGCACGGAGCAGGCAGCTCAGGCTGCACTTCGGAGACGGATCCCAAGGGATCTGTCTTTGTAAAACCTTCCTCTCCCAAGCACCGACTGTTTTCGAAGCCCTCCGACGCCATTCCCAGCCTGGCCGGCCCCCTGCAGAGCCCCCCACCAGGCGGGGGTCCCCTCCCCTGGGACCGGAGCATCCTCCCAGCCTGGGAACAAAGCACAAACCGCGGTGGACACCCACACCTGAAGCTGGGAGAGAAGATTTCAGCTCTGCGGCGGCACAACCAGCTCTGGGAGCGGCCACAGGCGCAGGATGAGACCCGATGGGACGGTCGGCTGAATACGGGGGTCGGCTTCAGCATCGCCCCCCAAGAACCAAACCCAGAGGTTTCAACGTCATCGAGAACCTGGTGTACTCGGTGCACCCAAGCATCCCCCTCGCCTGCTGTGGAGGGGACGGAGGCGCCGGCTGGCAGCATCGCCCCACATCTTAATTACTCAAGGAGTAATTAAACACAGAGCACGGATGGACAAGGCAGCACCGCGTCCGAAACCCTGCGCCTGCTCCCGCGAGGTGGCCAAGACGCCGGGTGAAGGGACGTCAGGCGAGATCCCAGCCTCGCGCTGCACCGAGTCCACCACAGGACCACGGGACAAAACCACCCCGGCTTCTCACCCACGCCAAATCCGAATCGCCACTTTGAGACCATGGGGGGACCGTGCAAAGAACGGCTTCTCCAGGGAGAGGTGTGCTCCTTACCCGCCCGGGGACTCCAGCGGCCGTCCTGCCTCCGCCGTCCCTACAAGAATTGCTGGGGAAGCGCTTTAAAACCACTGCGAATAATTCTGTATTTAAAAATTGCTCCATCTGTTGATGCTTATATACAAGAGTCAGTTCTTGTGCTATAAATGTTAATGATTCATTGCTTCATTTCTTGTCTTTTTTCTTTTTTTTTTCTTTTTTTTTTTTGAAAAATACACTAAGAGACAAGAGCTGTTTTTGCTATTTTCTAATGAGGACACTACTCACGCTTAAATATCCAGTATTTCTCATAGTAACAAATCCAAACAGTAAAGTGCACCCATATACAGAGAGAACAGATGGAAAACCATTAGTGCAAGAATCCCGTGAAAAAATGCAACACGTGGTTATCGTGAGAAACAAACCTGCACGCCGCAGTGTTTAAGCCTTCTTTCAGCTTGGTGCTTGTGTTCAAAGTGTGAGCTGTTTGCTTTTTCCCTTAAAATATCTTCATAAACCCAAAAAGTGACCCACCGAAGTGTGGTGAGGGGACATTTTGGAGGGATGGTGCTGGGAGCACGAGGCAGCGACCAGCGAAAGCCAAACGCGGGCGGTTCTCCCAGCGCTGCGCTCGGACCGTCTTGTTCGCATCTCGGCAGAGAGAACCGGCTGGCGGCCGGAAAAAAATAGGGATGGGGGTGGATTTGGTGATTTTTTTCCTTTTCAAAGAAGCAACTAAAGGTAGGAAGCCACTCACACGATTGGAAAGCGGGAGGATGGGAGGCGTTGAGCAAAGTGACCGGTGTCCGGACCCGTGGGAACACAGGTCGTGGCTGGAGATGCAGCGGCGGAGAATTGGTTATTCCTTACGAAGCAGAACATGCTGCTTCAAAAAAAAAAAAAAACAAAAAGAGAGGATGAAAAAAAAAATAAAATCATCACACCCCCTTTTGCAAGGAGCTGAGCATCCCTGGGAGGGGTCTCCCAGCGCATCCCCTGCCTTACGGAGCCCTCTGAGAAAGCCAGGAGTCGGCGCCGGGCTGCACCTCCAGAAAGAAAATGCCAACCTCAGTCTGAATACTGGCTTGGACAAATAACCAAACAGCCCCAAAATCTCCAAACCCCATGGAAGGAACCTTGCCCAAACGCTCTCAAGGTGTCTATGAGACACAAGCCTTCGTCGTCCCGAGGTGTGCGCATCCCGGTTTGCTCTGAGCAAATTAGGCAATGAAATCGCAAGGAGATGTGCTGAAAAAATAACAAAAAATAAGAAAAAAAAAGAAAAAGAGAAAAAATAAGGAAAAAAAAGAAGAAATAAGAAAAAAGCCCCATCGAAGCCAGGGTTTGCTTAAGAGTTTCGGGCCAAGTCCTCAGCTGGTGTAAGGGGATGTAGGAGCACAGATGTCGCGCTGGGGATATGGTTGTTTACACCGGCGGAGGTTGGACCCCGCGATTTGGTTGAAGAAGTCTGGCCATCGATCCGCATAGCCCTTGGGAAACACCGAACGGTATCGCTGCTGCTGCTCGGCACCGAAATCGCTCTGATCGGCTGATACGGGTGAGGTCCAGCACGGGCGACAGGCACTGTTCTGCTCTAAACCAGGCTCCAGGGTTATCACCCTCCCCCCCGATCATCCCTCGCTCCCAGTAACTGAAAAGGCAGATGACAAACCCACCAGTAAGAAATGAATCTGTAAAGAAAAGTCCTTCCACCTCCCCCAGCAATTTCAGAGAATAATTGAAAAATTATTGAAAATCCTTTAAGGATTTGGGAAGCATCCCCCGCTTTTCACACTGTCTTGATGTGATTTGCATTTGATTAAAAAAAAAAAGAAAAAAGAAAAAAAAACCCCAAAAATGTCCTGAAATAGATTGCATAAATAAATTATAAATATCTCTCTCTTAGCTACAGGTCCTTAAGAGCAAAACATGGTCTCTACCATTTACAGGTATGGAATATGGCCATTGCTTTCCACGATTTTGGGAACGGATCTCAGAAGAGCGCAGCATCGCTACGGCACTGGCTCCCTGGGTGGGAGTGAGCCGAAGGGGAGGGATGCTGCAAGGCTGGGCTTGCAAAGGACCCTTCCTGCCTTGGGAACCACGTTATGCATCCCGATCATAAAAAATCAAATAAAAAAAATTAAAATTTGCCATTTTCCTCCTTGAATACCATTTTCTAAGTCAGATTTTTGCTTTTCCTCACAAGTAAAGAACCCCACCAAATGAAAGCCCCAATGCTAAACCCTCCCGGTGAGAACACGGTGGGAAGTGCAGTCATCTGCTAACGGCGCAAAGAAGTTGTCACAACCCCAGCTCACGCACAAGAGGTTTCTGCCCAATTCCCTCAGCTGATGAGAATGCATACGAAGGGCCAACCTCAATCCTTGGACACCTGCAAAATGCCCCCGAGCAAACCAGAGTCAGGGCACCCGGCAGGTAACTCCCAAAGCAGCAAAGCATCACGCGACCCCCACCCCTCCTGGCCGATGACGCGATTAAATAACGAAGGAATCCAATTGGGATTGAAGCGCTATAGACCAGAGGAAGCAGGACGGTTATCGTGCATAGCTGCTCGGGATTAAACACACCGCGCCCTTGCTCGCTGTGAATCATCTGCTCTTTGGGGGCAAAGAGCCCAAGGACCCAGCCAGCTCGAGGACCCGCGGATGCAGCCCTGGGCAAGGCTCCTGCCATCCCTGCTCTGCTCCCGCTCGGAATTCCCGTCGGCATTGAGTAAGAGCCTCAACGAGACAAAAGAAACCCACTGACATCAACCGCGATTGTCTCTTGAAAAAGAGCTGGTTACCTCCCGCTGCGTAGGGGCTACGTCTGGACCACCCCGCGCCACGTACTAAGATATCCCGGTTGGGAATTCGGCTGGAATTGGGCAAAACTGATACTGGCTCGGCTGATGTTGGCTTCACGGTCAGCTGGGGAACGAAAGGGCTGGAGCACGTGCATGGCTGTCTGACCACCACACAAAGTACCGGAGCAACTCGGTCATGGAGCTACCAAAGAGAAATAAAAATAATAATAATAATAATAATCATATGCATGGAAATCAAGCTTGGAAGTGTGTGCTGAAAACATGAGGGGGTCTGAACTCCAACAAGCATCTTTTACACATTAGACTCCACAAACGGTCTCTTTGGTTTGATTGGGGACGTCTGCCCTTGCCTGGAGTCCCTGGAGAGCTGCCTGTACAGGTTGTCCTGGTAGGCCTGCGCCACCGGCAGTGTCCTTGCCACCTTGACGTCGGGATAGGAGGAGGCTTGGGTGACTCTCTCCAGGAGGTCTCCCCGGGACCCATTGGCCAGCATCCCATGGGGGCTGTAATAGTCTTCCTCTAGCAAATGGCCATTCTGGGCATTGTTGGTTTTGTTATAAAAGGCAATGTTGCTGATCGACGAAGGCGGGCTAAATGATTCCGGTTGGGGGAGATTGCCAGGAGACGTCGGACTAATGACGGTGTCCACTGACGACACGGCCCAGGTCCGGTTCTGCTGATGGAGGTGGGGGTACTGCTGAGTCCGAGCGGTTTTATCGATGATTCCCATGAACGGCGTGGTCCGGGAACGGGCTGGCTCGCTGGGGTAACCCCCTTGCGTGGGAGAGACCGGAGAAAGTTCATCGCACGCTCTGTCGTAAGCTGGCTTCAGAGGAATCTCCATTTGCTGAATCGACGCGGAAGGGCGGAAGTTGGGAGTCAGGTTGGAGGTGGAGGAGATGCTATTGCTGGAAGGAGAGAAGCGCAGGCCGACGCTCTGAGAGTGGAGCAGGGGCCTCGGAGTCGGCGGGTGAGGCTTGATTTCGCTGGGATTAACTGTGATGGGCCTTCTTATGAGATGGGACACATCCGGAGAGCCCAGCTGGCTGGCGGGGATGGACGAACGCTCCAGGTCAAGCTTCGAGTGACACACGGGATAGTAGGAAGCGGACTGGCTTCGCCCGATCTGAGGGGTCTGGCTGTACCTCATACCCCCCCGGTACGCCGAGGACGGTCTCTGTGGAAGGTCTTCCTTGGCCAACCCTCCATGCTGACAGATGGCTCCTGCACTGAGGCTGGCCTGAACGTGCTGCACAGGTCTGCTGTCACCCACGATGCCACCGATGGAGCCCTGGTAGACCAACCTGCTCTGGCTGACCCCCATTTCCCCCGACGCCGACTGGTACTTGCTGGCCATTGAGTGGGCAACCTGGCTGTAGGCGCCGGTTGGGATGACGGTACTGGAATGGACGGCGGGGCTGGGCTGGTTGCTCCTCACAATCTGCGCCTTGGCTGGCTGCAGCCTCAGCCCCGGCTGCGGCACGGCCACGGGGAGCTGGGGCATCTGGAAAGATCTCTGCGTCATCTTGGATAACGGAGACTTTGGTCTGCCGGGGAGCTGGCTGACCGCGCTTGGTTCTTGCTGATAACGCACCGGGGAACCCGACTGTGACCTATAAACGCTCATGCTTTCTGCTGGGGGGCTGGCTCGATACTGAGGACCTCTACGAAGAGGAGAAGGTGGTGGGCTTTGATATTCCTTCCCTTGGCTTCCGACGGGAGGTGGGCTGAAGCGGTAGGAGGAGCCCTGGTGAGCAGGGGACGTGTGCGGAGGACTGGGTCTATAATGTGAGTTCTGGTGGGTCGGAGACAGAGCAGGAGATGTGGACTGGTACCCTTGCCTGGTTGGTGAACCCACTGAGCTATTGGACCTGAAATCAAACACCTGATGAGAGCCAAGAGGTGAGCCAGAAATATAGGCTGAGTCCCGGTGAGCTGGGGACGGGGGTGGGCTCTGGATGATGGGCAGCCCTTGGTTTGGCCTGGACTCTGTCTGCAAGCCAATGGAAACGTTCTCGACATCCTGCTCGAGGTATTCCTCTTCAAAAATATCTTGCACAGAATAGAGTTCTTCATGCTGGGCTTCGGGTTCGGGCTCCGCTGGGAGCGGCGGCGGC